CACCGTCCGATAAATTATAACCTATAAGGAAAAATCAATATTCTCTCGTATGACTATATAAATCCTTCAACCATTACAAATACATAATCTTTCTACTTTTTTAAATATATTATATTTATAGGATCTTGTTACGTGTTTTAAACCATTACTCTAATGACCTGGGGGTTAGTAAAAGACTAGGCCAATGGTCCCACTGTTGGAAAAACAATAACAATAATAATAATCCTGATTTTGATTCTAACAATCAAACATAAACATAATCTCATACTGATAAACATGTTGTAAACTGAATGCGAAAGCGTACCTGAATTAGCCATAACGATGATGTCTTTGTAGAGCACTATATTGATCTTATGGTCTTCCACCTGAAGAGCACCTATATTTCCCTCTTGATTTTCTCTCTTGATGGGGATAGAAAGAAAGGAACGAGGCTGATACTTACCTTACTGTGTGTGTGCTCTCGAAGGGGACCATGACCCTTTAGATAACCGAGAATTAGGTTAATTACTTAAGTTTTAGTATTTCCAATTTGGCCCCTCATCAAATTAGAAATTGCTCTATGGTCTCTACACAATTTTATTTTCATGACATATGCCTTTAGCCAAAACTTTAATTTAGTCAGATCACTTTATTATTTGGCTTAATAAATAATGACCCTAACACATTTAAATATGTATCATATATATACATGACCCAAAATTTGCCAACAATCTCCCACTGGTCACAAATATATATGTCTTTACAACACTTACAAATGTGTTAGACTTTATGAGCTCAAAATTGTCATTATATTCCTTTAGCATATTCAAAAGTCTGTCCATTAATCATATCAGGATATAGAACCAAACCCGACTTTTTCATTGCATCATCGCAACTAAAACCAACAAGATTACTCATCCTAACATAACCAAATGACATGGATTCATCATGAAATGTGTAGCATGAAAAATTACGTGAAGGTGATCGTGTACACGTCTATTTTCAACTGGTCCAAACTTTAACTTATCGAGATCGATACAATAACCTTAATGTACAAAGTGTAATGAATGAACAAGAAAACCGCATATCTATAGATAACCAAATATGTCCAAAAAACAATGTATACATATATAAAATTAAACATAGAACATAAAATATATGAAAATGACTAACTCCCCTTTAAACCACAAATTCCTCAAGCCGTAAAACACCCATGTGAGCAACATGCTCATGAAAGGGAGACCTTGAAGCGCGAAGTCATTTAGTTAGAGGATATGCTATCATGGAGTTTGTCCTTAAGTGTTCTATGGAAATCTGTCCACTTTGTACTCTTTCTAACAATCCGGCTGATTTATTGTCACAATATAACTTAAGTGGTCTTTCAATGCCTTTCGCAATTTGCAACCACCTGTGACAAAACTTCTCAGCCATATTCCATGATTTGATGCCTCATAGCATGCTACAAATTCTTGACATCCACGCAAAATATGAGTCGAAAATCCAGCGATCTCCAAGCTCGGTCGACATCCTATATGTGAGCATATAATCTTTTGTTCTCTTTAAATATCTTATGACCCTTTTGCTTGCTTTTCAATGAGTCACATTCCTGGATTGCTTAAATATCCGCCTAGAACCCCAACTATATATGCTATGTGCGGATGCGTACATACTTGGGCATAGATCAAACTCCTACAAGCTGATGCATAGGGAATCTTTTTTGCATTTCCTCAATTTCCAAATTCCCTTTGGGCAGTCGATTGAGACTAAACTTGTCTCCCTTTAAACTTGTGATACATACGATCATCAACGATATTCATCTTGAAGCCAAATGAGTTTCATACCTTGCGGTAATGGGACAAGTTCCCAATAACCTTATTGTCTTGCATGGACTTATACTTATCCTATTGCTTCAATCCATTTTTGAGATTTAGAACCTTATATAGCTTGATGGAAGTTAAGCTGGGTCATCTTCCATTATATCATTATTTTCCTCATGTTCTGAAGAAATACCATGTAATCATCCGAAATAGCACTTCTTCTTTCTCTAGTGGATCTCACGCAAAGTTATTGGCTCATGATGCACAGGTTCTTGAGGATCTTGAGTTTGTTCTTCATGAACAACCAAATCATCTTGAGTAAGGGGTTCATTAACAATACCTTGTGGAGGTTCGAACTTACTTCATCAAAAGTAGCTTGTTTGAATCGGTTACGGAATTGTTACCAATTCTTCCTCCAAGACAAAGTTCTTGATTTTATTCTTCCCCCCAAACTCAATATCCTCAAAGAACGTAGCAGTTCTCGTCTCAAAAATTGTCTTTAATGTGGGATCATAAAATTTATATCCCCGGATCTTTCGAGCATAACCAATAAAATAACTACTTACTTGTTCGAGAGTCCAATTTCTTTTCATTTGGCTTATAAGGCCTTGCCTCGATCTGGACATCCCCACACATGGAAATGCTTCGAGACTAGGTTGTCGCCCGGTCCAAAGCTCATAAGGTGTTTTGGTAAATTTGCTTTAGTTGGTACTACTGTTTAAAATATAAATTGTCGTCTTTAGCGCCTCTCCCCGAGTGACTCCGTAAGGTGGAATGACAAATCATACTCTACCATATCTTTAAGAGTGTAACACAAGCTCAAACGTCACGATTTGATTGTGACACGAACACTTGTGCCATAATGCACCCGAATGAGTATTTTCAATTTTACGTTTAGTACCCAGTGATTACTGTATTAAGAGTTTCATTATAGGTGGTCACGATATCAAGTAAATACTGATTATCATAAGGCAAAAGTTAACCGAGTTCCAATAATATCTCGAATTAAAAGACAAAGCTGAACTTATTGTTTCCAAATGAACACAAATAACCTAATTTGTCCGGATAAGAAACTGAAACCAAATTCCGTCTAAATGACTGGCACAACAAAAGTGTCTTTCAAATCCAAATAAAAATCAGTACTCAATAACAATTTAAAATGTCCTATGGCTTCCACCTCTACCGATTTTCCATCTCCAACATATATCCATCTTTCAGAATCAATTGGCTTCCGGTAGCTTAGGCAACCCTTTATAGAAACACCGATGTTAGTAGTTGCACACTGAGTCTAACCACCAAGTGTTACTAGGTACTGACGCTAAATTGACTTGAGCAGGACCAAAGTAGGAAACATACTTTTGAGGATCAGAACATAATTTAAATTGGCGGATACTGAAGCAATTGTAGGCTGGATTAGAACAAAAGAAATAAACTAATTATGCTCACATTATATAAAAAAAATTATAAATAAAATATATATTCAAATAATGGTTTAACCCATCTCAAGACACCCAATGCACCATCAATATCAAGTCTTTGGACGATAATATTAAGCTGCTAGAGGTATCTTGTTGTAATAATCAAACATTAACAATAAAGCACGTCCAACAACAAACCAGTCTTTGGATTGATTTATCATCGACAAAGCAAATCCTTATAATTATCACATGTTTATCATTACAAGTGTATATGCAATTCGGCTAAATATTAATCTTCCTTTGGGTCGACTAATACTCGCATGAATATACACAAACACTAACATTCAATATTTTTTATGAACTGCCCAATTCAAGAGAAGTTACTTTGGTGACTTCTTGACTCAATTTGCTCACAAAAAATATTAAAATACCAATAATTGAATATTTTATTTATATAACAAAACCAAATATTTAATATTTGCAAACTAATTCAAAAGAGAATAATCTCATCAGAATTCTACTAAGGATGAACACCTCCCTAGAATCTCATTAGGGATGAACACCTCATTTGAACAAATCAAAGGATGAAAAAAAAAGGCCTCATCTTCCACCAATACATAAAGGATTAACATCTCCCTAAAATCACACTAGGGATGAAATAGAGATAGTTCTGAGTCTCTTTAGCATACTGCTCTAAACCCTAAAAGGGGATTAAACAGAAATCACTCAAACCCTAATTTAACATCAAATTTTCTTTAAATTCCTAGGGGATAGAGGCAATAAAATAATAACAGCCAAACATGTGGAAACATTCATCATTTACCTAAGATTCTACGTATTGGGAACTCCACAAACACCACCCCCAATTCCAAACCCATAAAATTAAATAAAAACAAAAGATTAAAAAAAGAACAGAGAACCCAATACAAGAAAAATTGAAATATGAAACACTGTTTCTTTCTCAGTAAAACTTGAAACTTAAACTGAAACAAAAGTGAAAAACGAAGAAGAAGAAGAATCCATAGCTTCCTCCACGGTTCCATCAGCAAGCAGAATCAGATTGGGGATGTTACCCCCAAATTTAAATTTTAGGGTTCACAAAAATTAGAGATTATCCTCCACTTAGGGTTCATAAAATTGGGTAATATGAATTGTTTAAAACAAAATTAATCCTAATTTTCATAATTAGGGTTCTATAAATTAAACGAGACATGAATCAAATATGGGCGACTCTGATACCAATTGTTGGAAAAACAATAACAATAATAATAATCCTGATTTTGATTCTAACAATCAAACATAAACATAATCTCATACTTGATAAACATGTTGTAAGCTGAATGCGAAAGCGTACTCGAATTAGCCATAACGATGATGTCTTTGTAGAGCACTATATTGATCTTATGGTCTTCCACACTGAAGAAGCACCTATATTTCCCTCTTGATTTTCTCTCTTGATGGGGATAGAAAGAAAGGAACGGGACTGATACTTACCTTCTGTGTGTGTGCTCTCAGAAGGGGACCATGACCCTTTAGATAACCAGAATTAGGTTAATTACTTAAGTTTTAGTATTTCCAATTTGGCCCCTCATCAAATTAGAAATTGCTCTATGGTCTCTACACAATTTTATTTTCATGACATATGCCTTTAGCCAAAACTTTAATTTAGTCAGATCACTTTATTATTTGGCTTAATAAATAATGACCCTAACACATTTAAATATGTATCATATATATACATGACCCAAAATTTGCCAACACCCACACCTCAAAGAAGAGAGATGGAATGAAAAGAAGGTCTCATTTATTTCATGACTGCAGGAAAGATAGAAGATAGGGAATGCCGAAATTGAATAATTTCTGTTTGTTTGTGATTCAAAGCAAAGTGCTTGAACAGCACTTTTTCCTTCAATCCGTGCTCCTGACACTTCTATTTGGTGGGCCAGACGTCTGCCTTTGCGCCAATGAGGATCTCGCAGCCGCACTTTGGCTGTTGTCTTGACGCCTTGGTTACGAAAGTCGCCGGGGTCTAGGTTTATGGATGGATTTAGTGAGCCAAAGTCCCTCAAACTCAATTGGTTTCTTTTGTAAGAAAAAAAAAAAAAGTAGGTTTCGGGGGTTCATTGATTAGTACACCTCCGGTGCTGATAAGATTGGGACCCTGGTCGTTCGTCTCCGGTTTACCGGCCGATAAGATCTCTGAGATTGACCAGCCAGCTGGGTTGGTTTGGCTATTCCTTTCTATTGAAAAGAAGGAGTCAGCGCTCACCAGACAGAAAGCCAGGTTCCAACTCTTCTTTTCCGTAAGGGCTTCCATAACCTGATGAACCGGAAACTTGAATTTCATATATGTAATTTTAATTTATATAATATATATATATATATATATATATATATATATATATATATATATAATTTATTTAATATTAAAAATAATTATATTTATTAATTTTATAATTTTTATTTTTTTAACGTTATAATTCTAAATATTTTTTTTAACTTTATAAATATAATTTACAAATAATTATTTTTTTAATTTTAATTTGATATATATCTTTATTTATAATTATTTAATTTATATTTGAAAAACTAATGAATTATAATTAATTATTTGAAAAACTAATCAATTATAATTAATTATTAAAAAAATAATTGATTATTTCAAAAATTAATTGATAATATTTGAGTAATTGAAAAATTAACCAATTATTTTTTAAAATAATTAATTAATTTTTCAAAAATACATTAAGTAAATATATATATATATATATATATATATATATATATATAATATTATAATATTTTATTTAAAATTTAAAGTTTTAAATTATAATTTTAAAATAATTTATATATTTATTGTATTAATAATATATTTAAATTTATTATTAAAAAGTAGTAAAATAATATTTTTAAAATATATTATTAAATATTATATTTATATTTTATTATACAAAATTTATTTTTAATTTTTTGATTTATTTGATATTGTAATATTTTTTTTATAAATTAATAATAAATTAAGAAGATAATAAAAATCTTAAAAATTATATGTATATAAGATGAAATAATATTTTGATATAAAATTATATTTTTAAAATATATATTTTTTTGTTTTATAATATTTTAGAATATATATATATATATATATATAATTTATTTAACATTAAAAATAGTTATATTTTTATTAATTTTATAATTATAATTTTTTTAAGGTTATAATTTTAAATATAATTTTTTAAAAATTTATAATTATAATTTATATGATATATATAATTTATAAATAATTATTTTTTAAATTTTAATTTGATATATATTTTATTTATAATTATTTAATGTATATTTGTAAAACTAATCGATTATAATCGATGAAAACCTAATCGATTATCATCAATTATTTAAAAAAAGTAATTGGTTGTTTGAAAAAGTAATAGATCGTAATGAAATGAAATAATTAAAAAATTAATCGATTAGTTTTTGAAATAATTAATTAGTTTTTCAAATATATATTAAGTAAAATAATATATATATATATATATATATATATATTATATTATAATGTTTTATTTAAAATTTATAGTTTTAAATTATAATTTTAAAAAGATTTATATACTTATTAGATTAATAATATATTTAGATTTATTGTTAAAAGTAGTAAAATAATATTTTTAAAATGATACAATAGTTATCGGGAGGGTACATGTGAAAGTATTGATTGAAAAAGTGACTCGAGTTATAAGCTTTGGGGAGTTATGATATGACACAATACCATTATTTATAGTGTCATAATGGGCCGTGTATATTTTTTTAATTAACAGCTGCGATTGAAAACACAAAAATTTAACGCATAGGATTCAAATCCACTACATAAGGCATACTGCTCAGCCATAATGACATGATCATGCTTTAATAAAACTCTGTCAGATCTCGTGCAGTGTGGATTTAAATAATGTGCATTCATCTCCACGTATTTAATTTCAACCCTCAAATTAAAGTTGGAGCACTTTGTCACATGGACTAAAGCCTTCACACGTCATTCATGGTGGTCAGACCTCGTGCAGTGTGGATCTAAATCATATGTGTTCATCTCCACAGATTCATTCTTAGCCAATAGATTTCGCATATGGAATTATCATTGCTGTTGGCCCAAGTGAATAATTGTCCTATAAATAGAGCAACTTATAGGTTGTTCGACCAATTAACTCAGTGACAAGGTACTACAACCAACAATGACATCTACAACTTTCACAGTGTTGGTGTACTTCAACGACACCATCTTAACAGAAGAAAACTACCCTGAAACATATATTATCTCTCAAACGGCTTGGGTGACCATAACAAACACAATGACTATGGTCGAAGTGAAGCAACCTATTCTCAACCACTTGAACATGTCAACAGTAAATGAATATAGAGTCGACTTACAATACAGGTTACCAATTTTCATATCTGCCACTGCTGCTCATTATAGATCATGTAAGATATTTGTAGATGACGATGTTGAGACATTGTTTTTAATGACAACAGAATAGGCTACAGAAGTTCATGTTGAGATCATGACATTTATTACAAAAATCCACCAAAGTGCAACCCCGTCTAAAGTTTATTATGATTTAGCTAATAACTTCAATCAGTCACTAAACTTAAATTGATGATCATGTACCTTGATTTCTGAAAAATCCATGAACCTTATGTTATCACTCTTCTTGTCATGTGTGACGAGTATTTCAATCCATCCAATATTATCATTTATGTTAAGTCGATTAATCTTATTTATGTTTATCATTGTGTTAAAAAAAATTGTATTAACATGATGACGTAAAGTTATGTGTAAGTCAAATGATCACACAAGGAAATATCCAAGTCATATGATGACATAAGGTGTTGTGTGAGTCACATGATCATGTTAGTTAATGTGCGGGTCACATGATCACCTAACTTTTGGCTATAAAAGAAGACCTTACCACAAATTTCAAACCATAGTTATTCAAAACTTTTCTTTGCTACCACTCATTAGAATCTTATTCCTCCTCAAATGACACCAAAGATGTTTGCATGCATCTATGATAATGGTGACATGATTCCTAACCTAGAAAATGGTGTTTTGTTCAAGTCTGACACCTGTATCATGGTTCAGCTTCATAGAGGTTTCATATGTGTAAGTCACATGTCTACCACAAATTTGTGTTGGAAATCTGAAATGGAGGACAGGAGGTGGATTGGTTGGATCTTTCTTCGCCCGTTGCAATATTATCTCTATTAATTGTGAAAATGTGAAACCTCTATGCAGCTGAACCATGATACAGGTGTTAGACTTAAACAAAACACCATTTTCTGGGTTAGGAATCATGTCACCATTATCATAGATGCATGCAAACATCTTTGGTGCCATTTGAGGCGGAATAAGATTCTGATGAGTGGTAGCAAAGAAAAGTTTTGAATAACTATGGTTTGAAATTTGTGGTAAGGTCCTCTTTTATATCCAAAAGTTAGGTGATCATATGACCCGCACATTAACCAACGTGATCATGTGACCCACATTACACCTTATGTCATCATGTGACTTGGATATTTTCTTGTGTGATCATTTGACTTACACATAGTTTTACGTCATCATGTTAATACAATTTTTTTTAACACAATGATAAACATAAATAAGATTAATCGACTTAACATAAATGATAATATTGGATGGATTGAAATACTCGTTACACATGACAAGAAGAGTGATAACATAAGGTTCATGGATTTTTCAGAAATAAGGTACATGATTATCAATCTAAGCTTAGTGACTGATTGAAGTTATTAGCCAAATCATAATAAACTTCAGACGAGGTTGCACTTTGGTGGATTTTTGTAATAAATGTCATGATCTCAACATGAACTTTTGTAGTCTGTTCTGTTGCCATTAAAAACAATGCCTCAACGTCGTCATCTACAAATATCTTACATGATCTATAATGAGCAGTGGTGGCAGATATGAAAATTGGTAACCTGTAATGTAAGTCGACTTCATATTCATTTACTATTGACATGTTAAAGTGGTTGAGAATAGTTTGCTTCACTTCGACCATAGTCATTGTGTTTGTTATGGTCACCCAAGCCGTTTAAGAGCTAATGTATGTTTCAGAATAGTTTTCTTCTGTTAAGATGGTGCCGTTAAAGTACACCAACACTGTGAATGCTGTAGATGTCATTGTTGGTTGCAGTACCTTGTCACTGAGTTGATTGGTCGTAAACCTATAAGTTGCTATATTTATAGGACAATTGTTCACTTGGGCCAACAACAATGATAATTCCACATACGAAATCTAATGACTAAGAATGAATCTGTGGAGATGAACGCATATGATTTAGATTCACACTGCACGAGGTCTGACCACCATGAATGACGCGTGAAGGCTTTAGTCCATGTGACAAAGTGCTCCAACTTTAATTTGAGAGTTGAAATTAAATTTGTGGAGATGAATGCACATCATTTAAATCCACACTGCACAAGATCTGACAGGATTTTATTAAAGTATGATCGTGTCATTATGGCTGAGCAATATGCCTTATGTAGTGGATCTGAATCCTGTGCGTTCAATTTTTGTGTTTTCAATCGCAGCTGTTAGCTAAAAAAACGTACACTGCCCCAGTGGCGAATCTTGACCATTGATCTTGGGGGGCAAATAATATATTATTAATAAATAATAAATAAATATAAAAGAAAGAAAGAAGATGAAATGGTGAAAAGATAAAATTCTAGATATATACTTAAATATATTAAATGATCATTAAGTTTGAGGAGAACAAAATAATAAATTATATGAGAGTTACAAAGCTGAGGAGAGGCTGAGAGGATAAAATTGTAAATATATAAGTAAATATATTAAATGTTCATTATGTTTGACGGTGCCAAAATCATAAATTATATTGGAGTTACAAAACTTTGGAGGGGTCACGACCCCTCAGCTCCCAAGAAGATCCACCACTGCACCTGCCTGTTATGACACTATAAATAATGATATTGTGTCATATCATAACTTCCACTATTACCATGAGTTGATTCGAGTCACTTTCTCAATCAATTCTCTCACATGCACCCTCCCCAAAGCTAATGACTATTATGTCATTTTAAAAATATTATTTTACTACTTTCAATAATAAATATAAATATATTATTTAATCTAATAAATATATAAATCTTTTTAAAACTATAATTTAAAACTATAAATTTTAAATAAAACATTATAATATATATATATATATATATATATATATATTTTACTTAATGTATATTTGAAAAAGTAATTGATTATTTCAAAAACTAACCGATTAGTTTTTCAATTATACGATCTATTACTTTTCCAAACAAACAATTACTTTTTTAAAATAATTGATTATAATCGATTAACTTTTCAAGTAATCGATTATAATCGATTAATTTTTCAAGTATATATTAAAAAATTATAAATAAAATATATATCAAATTAAAATTTTAAAAATAATTATTTATAAATTATATAAATTATAATTATAATTTTTAAAAAAATTATATTTAGAATTATAACTTTAAAAATTTTATAATTATAAAATTAATAAAAATATAATTATTTTTAATGATAAATAAATTATATATTATATAAATTATATATATATATATATATATATATATATATATTCTCATAAATTAAAATAATAATTATCAACCTAAAAATAAATTATATTTAAAATTATAATATATATATATATATATATATATATATATATATATATATATATATTCCAAATATTTCAAAACAAAAAAAACATTTCAAAAATATAATTTTATATCAAAATATTATTTCATCTTATATACATATAATTTTTAAGATTTTTATTATCCTCTTAATTTATTATTAATTTCTAAAAAAATATTACAATATAAATTTTTTTTAAAAAATTATACAAATATAATATAAATATAATATTTATTAATATATTTTAAAAATATTATTTTACTACTTTCAACAATAAATTTAAATATATTATTAATCTAATAAATATATAAATTCTTTTAAAATTATAATTTAAAACTTTAAATTTCAAATAAAATATTATAATATTATATATATTACTTAATGTATATTTCAAAAATTAATCTATTAATTTTTCAACACTCAATTATCATCTATTAATTTTTTAAATCATCATTTACTTTTTCAAATAATTAATTATAATTGATTAATTTTTCAAATAATCAATTATAATATATTAGTTTTCAAATATACATTAAATAATTACAAATAAAAATATATATCAAATTAAAATTAAAAAAAATAATTATTTATAAATTATATTTATAAAATTTAAAAAATTATATTTAGAATTATAACCTTAAAAAAAATAAAAATTATAAAATTAATAAAAATATAATATTTTTAATGTTAAATAAATTATATATATTATATAAATTATATATATATATATATAATTATATATATCCATATATAATTTGTATAAATTAAAATAATAATTATTAATTTAAAAGTAAATTATGTTAATATATATATATATATATATATATATATATATATATATATATATATATATATATATATTCCAAAATATTACAAAACACAAAAAAAATACATTTTAAAAATATAAATTTAGCATAAAATATTATTTCATCTTATATATATATTAAATTTTTAAAATTTTTATTATCCTCCTAATTTATTATTAATTTTAAAAAAATTATAATATCAAATAAATCAAAAAATTATAAAAAATTAACTATATAAATTAAATATAAATATAATATTTAATAATATATTCTAAAAGTATTATTTTATTATTTTCAACAATAAATCTAAATATATTATTAATTTAAAAAATATATAATTTTTTTAAATTATAATTTAAAATTATAAATTTTAAATAAAATATTAAAATATTATATATATATATATATATATATTAGTTAGTTTTTCTTTTTTAATAAAATAAATAAAAAATTAAAAAAAAATCAATTTAGAATTTGATTATAAAAAAATTAAATTTTAAATGATTTTAAAAAATAATAATATATAATTATGGTTAGGTTTCATGTATTAGAAAATCGAATTCTTAATTAAAAAAAGTGTGTTATAAATAAATAAAATCTATAATATATCATTTAAATAATTAAAAATTAAATATATATTTGATAATTAAAAAATAAATATGTGTCATCACACCAAAAAATTCTAAATATACAATTCCTCTCTTTTTCTTTATAAATACTTTTTTTAGTTCTCAAAAAGTGTAATAATAAACAAGTTGTTTGATTGGACGTGCTTAATCAAACCGTACAAATATTCGTTCTCCTTGCACTCATAAGCTTGAACAGGAAATCGAGAACACTTCCATAATTATGATGGAAAGCAAGAGGATAGGTTTTGTCATATGTCTCTTATCCTTCTTCTCATTCTCCACCTCCTCAAGCCTTGACAATGGTTGGGATTGGCGTTTACTGGGGCCAAGACATTGGCGAAGGCAAGTTGAACACCACGTGCGACACTGGAAATTATGCGATTGTGCTCTTAGCTTACCTCCGCCAATTCGGCGATCGCAGAAACCCCGTTTTGGGACTTCATCGGCCACGACGACGGTGTGGTAGCGTCCCAGATAAAACACTGCCAGGTGGAACCAGACCACACAAATCTTAGCTTTAATCACACATATTTAGCTAAAGCTGTGTTTCTCCATTGATTCCCAGGCCAAAGGCTTCAAAGTGTTCTCTCCATCGGAGGACCCTGTTGGAAAAACAATTAATAATAATAATAATAATCCTGATTTTGATTCTAACAATCAAACATAAACATAATCCCATATTGATAAACATGCTGTAAACTGAATGCGAAAGCGTACCTGAATTAGCCATAACGATGATGTCTTTGTAGAGCACTATATTGATCTTATGGTCTTCCACCTGAAGAACACCTGAATTTCCCTCTTGATTTTTTCTCTTGATGGGGATAGAAAGAAAGGAACGGGACTGATACTTACGTTCTGTGTGTGTGCTCTCAGAAGGGGATCATGACCCTTTAGATAACCAGAATTAGGTTAATTACTTAAGTTTTAGTATTTCCAATTTGGTCCCTCATCAAATTAGAAATTGCTCTATAGTCTCTACACAATTTTATTTTCATGACATATGCTTTTAGCAAAAACTTTAATTTAGTCAGATCACTTTATTATTTGGCTTAATAAATAATGACCCTAACACATTTAAATATGTATCATATATATACATGACCCAAAATTTGCCAACAATCTCCCACTGGTCACAAATATATATGTCTTTACAACCTTACAAATGTGTTAGACTTTATGAGCTCAAAATTGTCATTATATTCCTTTAGCATATTCCAAAAGTCCTGTCCATTAATCATATCAAGATATAGAACCAAACCAGTTTTTCATTGCATCATCGCAACTAAAACCAACAAGATTACTCATCCTGACATAACCAAATGACATGGATTCATCATGAAATGTGTAGCATGAAAAATTACGTGAAGGTGATCTGTACACGTCTATTTTCAATTGGTCCAAACTTTAACTTATCGAGATCGATACAATAACCTTAATGTACAAAGTGTAATGAATGAACAAGAAAACCGCATATCTATAGATAACCAAATATGTCCAAAAAACAATGTATACATATATAAAATTAAACATAGAACATAAAATATATGAAAATGACTAACTCCCACTAAACCACAAATTCCTCAAACTGTAAAACACCCATGTGAGCAACATGCTCATGAAAGACCTTGGGCGGAAGTCCTTTAGTTAGAGGATATGCTATCATGGAGTTTGTCCTTAAGTGTTCTATGGAAATCTGTTCACTTTGTACTCTTTCCTTAACAATACAGCTGATTTATTATCACAATATAACTTAAGTGGTCTTTCAATGCCTTTCACAATTTGCAGCCTTGTGACAAAATTTCTCAGCCATATTCCATGATTTGATGCCTCATAGCATGCTACAAATTCTTGACATCCTGCAAAATATGAGTCAGAAAATCCAGCGATCTCCAACTGGTCTGACCTCCTATATGTGAGCATATAATCTTTTGTTCTCTTTAAATATCTTATGACCCTTTTTGCTGCTTTTCAATGGTCTATTCCTGGATTGCTTAAATATCTGCCTAGAACCCCAACTATATATGCTATGTCTGGATGCGTACATACTTGAGCATAGATCAAACTCCCTACAACTGATGCATAGGGAATCTTTTGCATTTCCTCAATTTCCAAATTCCATTTGGGCACTGATTGAGACTAAACTTGTCTCCCTTTAAACTTGTGATACACACAATCATCAACAATATTCATCTTGAAGTTATGGATTCTTCTTCTTCTTCGTTTTTCACTTTTGTTTCAGTTTAAGTTTCAAGTTTTACTGAGAAAGAAATAGTGTTTCATATTTCAATTTTTCTTGTATTGGGTTCTCTGTTCTTTTTTGAATCTTTTGTTTTTATTTAACTTTATGGGTTTGGAATTGGGGGTGGTGTTTGTGGAGTTCCCAACACAGAGAATCTTAGGTAAATGATGAATGTTTCCACATGTTTGACTGTTATTATTTTATTGCCTCTATCCCCTAGGAATTTGATGTTAAATTAGGGTCTGAGTGATTACTGTTTAATTCCCTTTTAGGGTTTAGAGCAGTATGCTAAAGAGACTCAGAACTATCTCTGTTTCATCCCTAGTGTGATTTTAGGAAGATGTTCATCCTTTATGTATTGGTGGAAAATGAGGCCTTTTTTCATCCTTTGATTTGTTCAAATGAGTTTCATACCTTGTGGTAATGGGACAAGTTCCCAATAACCTTATTGTCTTGCATGGACTTATACTTCTCATTCATTGCTTCAATCCACTTTTGAGAGTTAGAACCTTGTATAGCTTGACGGAAGTTAACTGGGTCATCTTCCATTATATCATTATTTTTCTCATGTTCCTAAAGAAATACCATGTAATCATCTGAAATAGCACTTCTTCTTTCTCTAGTGGATCTCTACAAAGTTATTAGCTCATGATGCACAGTTTCTTGAGGATCTTGAGTTTGTTCTTCATGAACAACCAAATCATCTTGAGTGAGGGGTTCATCAACAATGCCTTGTGGAGGTTCCGAACTTACTTTATCAAAAGTAACTATTTGAATCGGTTTTGGAATTGTTACCGATTCTTCCTCCAAGACAAAGTTCCTGATTTTATTCTTCCCCCCAAACTCAATATCCTCAAAGAACGTAGCAGTTCCCGTCTCAAAAATTGTCTTTAATGTGGGATCATAAAATTTATATCCCCTGGATGTTTCAAGCATAACCAATAAAATAACTACTTACATGCTCGAGAGTCCAATTTCTTTTCATTTGGCTTATAAGGCCTTGCCTCAGCTGGACAATCCCACACATGGAAATGCTTCGGACTAGGTCTGTTGCCCAGTCCAAAGCTCATAAGATGTTTTGGTAGCTGCTTTAGTTGGTACTCTGTTTAGAATATAAGTTGTCATATTTAGTGTCTCTCCCCAAAGTGATTCTAGTAAGGTGGAATGACAAATCATACTCTCTACCATATCTTTAAGAGTGTAACACAAGCCCAAACGTCACAATTTGATGTTACACGAGCACTTGTGCCATAATATACTTGAGTGAGTATTTTCAATTTTACGTTTAGTACCACATGATTACGTATTAAGGGTTTCATTATAGGTGGCCACAATATCAAGTAAATACTTGATTATCATAAATCAAAAGTGAACCAGTTCCAACAATATCTTAATTAAAAGACAAACTGAACTTATTGTTTCCAAATGAACACAAATAACCTAATTTGTCCAAATAAGAAACTGAAACCAAATTCCGTCTAAATGACGACATAACAAAAGTGTCTTTCAAATCCAAATAAAAAATTAGTACTTAATAACAATTTAAAATGCCCTATAGCTTTCACCTCTACCGATTTTCCATCTCCAACATAAATTCATCTTTCAGAATCAATTGGCTTCCGGTAGTTTAGGCAACCCTTTCTTTTCACGCCAAACATGATATTTAGCACATTTCTTCTTTACGTGTCCAGTCTTATTGCAAAAGAAACATTTGTTTTCTTGAGTTTGTTTCTTTTGTTCTGGACCCTTAACACCTTCTGAAAGTTGTAAGATACCTTAAATTGATTAAACGTTGCAGGAAGAGAAATCAACACCAAATGAATGAGCAAGTCTTCTGAGAGTTCAAGCTTTAGTGCCTTGAGTTTAAAAACAATATTAGACATACTCATAATGTACTCCCTGATATTTCCTTTGCCTTGATATTTCATGGAGATCAAGTTCTGAAGAAGAGTGATTGCCTCCACCTTATCGCTTTTTGCAAAGCGCTGCTCAATTTCAGCAAGGAATTCTTTGGCACTTGTAATGTTTTCAGAAACAGTGCCCCTAAACACCTCCGAGATGTCATGCTTAATGATCATTAGACTCATGCGATTTGAGCGATCCCACTTCTCATAATCTCTTTTCTGTTCAGAGGTACTTGAATCCGTAAGAGTAGGAGTTTGCTCAGTCCTTAACGCAAAATCCATATCCATGCAACCAAGAACAATATCAATGTTCTCTTTCCGAGTCCTTAAAATTTGTTCCATTGAGGACCGAAACAGAATTTAAATTGGCGGATACGAGAAGCAATTGTAAGCTGAATTTAGAACACGAGAAATAAACTAATTATGCTCACATTATATAAAAAATAAATAATATATATTCAAATAGTGGTTTAACCCATCTCAAGATACCACAATGCACCATCAATATCAAGTCTTTGGACAGGTAATATCAAGCTGCTAGAGGTATCTTGTTGTAATAATCAAACATTGACAATAAAGCACGTCCAACAACAAACCGGTCTTTGGATTGATTTATCATCGACAAAGCAAATCCTTATAATTATCACATGTTTATCATTACAAGTGTGTATGCAATTCGGCCAAATATTAATCTTCCTTTGGGTCGACTAATACTCGCATGAATATACACAAACACTAACATTCAATATTTTTCATGAACTGCCCAATTCAAGAGAAGTTACTTTGGTGACTTCTTGACTCAATTTGCTCACAAAAAATATTAAACTACCAAAAATTGAATATTTTATTTATATAACAAAACCAAATATTTAATATTTGCAAACTAATTCAAAAGAGAATCACCTCATTATAATTCTACTAAGGATGAACACCTCCCTAGAATCTCATTAGGGATGAACACCTCATTTGAACAAATCAAAGGATGAAAAAAGGCCTCATTTTCCACCAATACATAAAGGATGAATATCTTCCTAAAATCACACTAGGGATGAAACAGAGATAGTTCTGAGTCTCTTTAGCATACTGCTCTAAACCCTAAAAGGGAATTAAACAGTAATCACTCAGACCCTAATTTAACATCAAATTCCTAGGGAATAGAGGCAATAAAATAATAACAGCCAAACATGTGGAAACATTCATCATTTACCTAAGATTCTCTGTGTTGGGAACTCCACAAACACCACCCCCAATTCCAAACCCATAAAGTTAAATAAAAACAAAAGATTCAAAAAAGAACAGAGAACCCAATACAAGAAAAATTGAAATATGAAACACTATTTCTTTCTCAGTAAAACTTGAAACTTAAACTGAAACAAAAGTGAAAAACGAAGAAGAAGAAGAATCCATAGCTTCCTCCACGGTTCCATTAGCAAGCAGAATCAGATTGGGGATGTTACCCCCAAATTTAAATTTTAGGGTTCACAAAAATTAGAGATTATCCTCCACTTAGGGTTCATAAAATTGGGTAATCTGAATTGTTTAAAACAAAATTAAACCTAATTTTCATAATTAGGGTTCTATAAATTAAACAGACATGAATCAAATATGGGCGGCTCTGATACCAATTGTTGGAAAAACAATTAATAATAATAATAATAATCCTGATTTTGATTCTAATAATCAAACATAAACATAATCCCATATTGATAAACATGCTTGTAATGCTGAATGCGAAAGCGTACACTGAATTAGCCATAACGATGATGTCTTTGTAGAACACTATATTGATCTTATGGTCTTCCACTGAAGAAGCACTCAGTATTTCCCTCTTGATTTTCTCTCTTGATGGGAATAGAAAGAAAGGAACGGGACCGATACTTACGTTACGTGTGTGTGCTCTCGGAAGGGACCATGACCCTTTAGATAACCAGAATTAGGTTAATTACTTAAGTTTTAGTATTTCCAATTTGACCCCTCATCAAATTAGAAATTACTCTATGGTCTCTACACAATTTTATTTTCATGACATATGCTTTTAGCAAAAACTTTAATTTAGTCAGATCACTTTATTATTTGGCTTAATAAATAATGACCCTAACACATTTAAATATGTATCATATATATACATGACCCAAAATTTGCCAATAGACCCATCACGTTTTACGAGTACTCCCTCAACTCCACCGAGGATGCAAAGCACTTCGCCAACTACCTCTACACCAGCTTTCTCAGTGGCCGATTTGGTCCAATCGGAAGGGTGGAGTTGGACGGCATAGAGTTCCACATCAGAGCCACAGAGGACACTGGGATGACCTTGTCAAAGAACTCGACTTTTTCCGACGCACCAAAGGCCGTTACTTTCACTTGGTTGCAGCCCCTCGGTGTCCAATCCCAGTTCACAATCTTGGCAAAGCCATCGAAACCAAACTTTTCGACCACATCTTCGTTCAGTTCTACAAAATGACCCCTCTTGCGAATACAACATTGAGGACGGCACCAAGCCCTTGTTGGACTCGTGGGACAACTGGGTAAACTTGGTCGCGTCTAATAACTCGCTGTTCCTGGCCCTGCCTACGGACTCAAGTGAAGAAGAAAGTGGTTTCGTGGAACCGGATGTGGTGAATCTTGAGGTGCTTCCGCATGTGAAGAAAGCCACCAACTATGGAGGGGTGATTCTGTACAACAGATATCGTGATATTGTAAGGAATTTCAGCGGCGAGATACTGCCCAATGTGCTCAAATCCTCCTTCTTCTTGAACACAATGGGTCCTGTCTTTCCCTATTTTGGGTAATGGTGGTTATTAAGTTGGTACCATGTAGAACCTTGGTTACGTTTGTCTGAATTTTCAACAAACAAGTTTAAGTTCATTTCAAGAAAATGTACTTTTAGAAATTTGTGTAAAAAGTAATAAATATTTACCTAAACGTTAATACAATTAATTAAGGTTCTATGATTTTAGGATGCAGTAACATCCAACACATTATATGTAGGCACAACAGTGATAAGACGAAATATGAATCTTGATGATATTAGGCTAAATTTAAGATCTAGTAGAATATAACACGCTTTTTTTGTCTTGAGTTTTTTATATTTCACCAAATTTTAATATTAACGTATGCTAGAGTAAACCTAAAATTAGGTCGAATAATAACGTAAATTTATTGCATCTTTTAATTTTCAGTAAATAAGTTCCATGAATTTTTGAAGACTGCACGGAAGGACTCTAAAATATCCATCATTGATGAGAATTAGAGAACATGTCATAGTAGAACATCCGTTTGAGCTTGGACTTGAGCTAAGACTTCTTTTGTTTTTAGACCTTCTTTTCCCACGGAGGAGTAACTTCTCCTCTTCTGATTTTTTTTTTTCTCTTGTTGATTTTTTTTGTGTTTATTAATTTTTCTGCTCTTTTATATTTGTTATAGTTCTTCTGGTTGTTTTTCTTTTTATCTTTGTTCTTTTGCTCTCTTTCCTAAAAGACAAAAAAGAAAAAGAAAAAGAAAATTAAATAACAAGTTAATTCTCATACGAGTATAAATACATCAAATCAATATAGGAAGAAAGGAAAAACAAAAAAATTCTCACACTTACCATCCATGACTGATTTTCTTGGAACTTGGGAACCTGGGACGGTTACATGCAAAGTTTTGTAATTTATAAGTGTATTTATAATTTTATCTTTTAAAAAATTATTAAATATATTTATTTATATATTTATAATATTTTTTCTATTTTTATTTTTTAATATTAATTTATTATTTATTAACAATATATTATTTCACTATTCTAAAATTAAAAATAAAAAATAAAATCCTAACAAAAATATAAAACAAATTATATATTAAACCAATAAAAATTTTATTTTAATTTAAAAAATATCATCATATTTTCAATGTATAAGATATTTATTAATCCAATCAAAAAAATTAATATAATAAAAACATATTTTGTGCTAGTAAGAATACTTAACATCTATTACTAATCAAATATAATAAATCACGATAATAATAAATATATTAAGATCATCTATAATGCATAAGTTTAAATAAAATAATATATTATAACATAAATATAAATATTCTGATTATTTAGCTAAACGTTACGGATTTCTTACATTGATATATATATATATATATATATATATATATATATATATATATATATATATATATATATATATATATATATATATATATTTTTTTTTAACTACCATATCATATCTACCTTAACAAGGATAAGATAATTTAATAATAATAACAAAATCCTCTAAATTACAGTAATTTTAGATTGATAATGATTCTTATATTACATACAAGTGCCTTTATTATTTTAATGGCTAGTAAACGGGGAACTAGACATGTCCTTCAAGACACAGACGAGAGTAAGATGGATTTGGGCACATTGGGGAGTATTTTGCCGCTGAAGTTCCATACAATATCACGATATCTATTCCACAGGATCACTCCTCCATAGTTGGAGGCTTTCTTCACATGCGGAAGCACTTCACGATTCACTATATGGGGCCTAACGTACCCAGTTGCCCCTGCAGTAATCGACGATAGCAGCCCCAGGAAGATGTTGCTGTTGGGCGGAGCCAAGTTCACCCACTTGTCCCACGACTCCAACAAC